AATTAGAAAACATGCTGAGGAGAAATTTAATGAAAATTTGTATTTTGCCAAAACAGTGATTTTGGGAAATATCCACAAATACAAGAAGAAAATATGTCCACTGAGAGGCTATGAGAGCAAGGATGAGAAAACTCTTGGGGTACCTATTTACTGCTAGGAAAACAGAGGAACCAGTTGAAAGTAAATATGATTAAACGTCTGTCATGCCGCGGGAATTCAACCCAGGACCCTCAGTTGTGAGTCGACGACGCAGACTACTGCGCTACATGACCCTTAACCCTATCAAATTATATTTATCTAAAAATTCGTCATCGTTCACGGCCAATAAAATGTTCATAATTAAATTATAATTCGTTTGCAAGTCTCGCAGAGTAAGTGTTTTGAGCCGGTGGTCGGGAGGAGGCCTGGTCGAGGACCGGGCCGCGGGGACCCTATACCCCGAAGCCATCTCAAGGTAACCTCAAGGTAAGAGACCTTTCAACCCTCCCATCCCCCATGACTCCCCACCCCGCCTCCCTGCACGCCAAACATGTTGTTTAGGTACAGCCTTGAATGGTCCACATTCCTGACCAGTAGCAATAATCCCCACATCACTCCACCAACACCAGAAGGCTGAGCTTTACCGACCCAAGAGCTTTGTCTTATCCCAACCTCATGGGATATGCAGAGTCGCGTTTCTGTCAGAAAATAGAACAGCTTCAAACTCGCACTGTATCTTGTGCTAACCACTCCTCCAATAAATGTACTTAAGGCATACAACTTGACCGTTGTAATCACTGCTATCATCTTATATCATGGTTGTTTTGTTGAACGCAAATTTTACTACAATGTACCTACAAACAATTCTCAAATTATGCTACAATGTACCTGTTAATAATTCTCAAATTTGATTATAAAGTACCTATTAATTTTCTTCAAATTTTCTTACAATATACCTGCTAACATTCGTTAAATTTTGCCACAAATTTCCTACTTAAAATTATCTGTTAGATTAAGGACCTTCCCGAAACGCTATGCCTACAAGAATGTAAAAACATCAATGCTATGTCCTCACATAATCCCAACGTACCTTCTTGTATACATAAATAAATAAATAAAAATAAATACAAAAACTATATTGAAACGGCTTGCACTATGCCTGTTGTGTCACCACTATGACGTCACTTCCTACAGGACCACATCAACAAAAAACATTTCAGCTTCTGATGCAATAATGTCGATAATTTGAGTAAATAACGAGAGACGACAGTGACCTACCTAACCCCCGGCCTCTCACCAGACCTGCCCCACCCACCTCCTACAAGGTTAAAGGATGACTGACAAATTCCAGAAATGGACAAATAAATAGTTGCTAGGATTTAACTCCAACAAGTGTAAGGTAATGAAGATGGGAAAGGGAAGTAGAAGATTTAAGAGGTATCTACACTATTAGGAGAAGGGAAGCGAACTATTAGGAGGAAGCGCCAAGCCATTACGACTATAAAGCACTATTAGGGGAAGGAAACAATGGGAGTCAGAGAGAGAAAAGGATTTTGGGCGGATGTAAAGAGAATAACATCCGACCATATGACACGCTAGAAAACACTTGAACACCGTTTAGAAAGTTAAATCAGGGTTCTTTCAATACAATGTACATAGCTTTTGTAAAGCCAAACTAGAATACGCAGCACCGGCCTGGAATCCGCACCCTGTGAAGCATAAAACCAAAATGTAAATAGAGCAGAGATTGGCGACAAGATTAGTGCCAAAGCTAACAGGGTTAGTAGTCTATGAGGATAAGTTCAGGAGGCTTGACCTCACTACCTTGCAGGAGAGAAAAATAAAGGGAACATGATCACAACATAGAGGATACGAAGGGGAATAAACAAGGTGGATTAGGACAACCTCTTTAATCTGAGACAGTAAGACGAGAGGACACAAGTGAGAGCTGGAGACGCAACAAGTGAGTCAAAGAAATGTCAGGAAATACTGGCACCGTGTACGGGTGATCAACAAGTGGAACGCACTGAAAGAAGTTGCGGTAGCCATCTCCACCCACAACTTTATGTCCAGATGTGACAAAGAATTTCAACGTCTGACAAGTTAAATGATAACACAACTGGTACAACAAGGCTAGTAGGGAGGAAGGAGGGGGGAGGGCAAAAAAGAGCTAGACCTCACATTTCCGTAGTCACTGGTAGGTAAGTACTGATAGGTAAGTATCTGCCAAGAAAGTGTGATGATTACGTCATCAGCTCACGAAGACACAAACAATGCTCTATTCTGTCAGGGACTCTTAATCATCCTATTGATTGGTCTTCCTGTAAAATAATATTTCCTTCCTGCCTCTACTCTACACAGACGCCGTCTTGTTGGCTCAGCTCTGATACACAATCTTCCCAACATGAACCTGAGTCCTGGCTTTGTTGCTGTTGACTCTTCCCTTTCACAGTACATACTCAAATGTTGTAAACCAAAACGTTACCTGACTTAAGCTTTAACCCCCTGTTCTTATTCTTATCTTTCACTTTATTCTTACCTTCTTTCTCTTTCTTGCTGCTCGCCTTTCATCTCACTCTCTTACCTTATTGATTTGCCTGTCCCTTCCTCTCTTTTCCCCCATCCGCATCTGGATCGCTAGTGCTCCCACAGCCTTCCAGATTTCCAGTTACAGCCCCCCACTGTGCCAGATAAGTCCACTACGGGCTCACCATAGCCTCGTGCTACTTGCCCCCCACTGTGCCAGATAAGTCTACTACGGGCTCACCATAGCCCGTGCTACTGGCAACTTTGTGTTCCCAGTAACTGAATCTAAAAACAACAACATCCTCTCCTTCCATCACACAACTAGATAATGGTCCAAGACGGACCGAAACGTCGTCGTTTGTCCGTGTTCTGATGTGTAGTTAAATAAATAAATAATAAATGTTTATTTAGGTAAGGTACATACATAAAGAGATTTTACAAAGTTTGTTGGGTTAATAGATAGAGCTAGTACATACAATGCCTAAAGCAACTATTACGCAAAGCGTTTCGGGCAGAAACGGGCAGTTTGGTCATCATATCTTCAGCCACGTTATTGTGACTCATCGTCTGCATATACTGGACCAACCTACAGATGTGAACAATGGAGCTATGTGAAGCAAGAGTACCTGAGGGGCCCCAAGCAGCCCTAGTCATCAATGAGAAGTTTGTTGTGCAAGACCGACCGGAAGGTCGAGATTGGTCTGCTGTGTATCAGGAAGTTACTGTTGTTCTACAGTCGTCGATGTGAGGCGGTTGAGAGAGTGTTTGCTGCTTGTTTCTGGAATTCAACAATATCCATAATAAATGCTCTCAGTAAGCACTTCCACATCCTTCTTTCCTTAGAACATAATGTAGAATTTATATGTATAGCCTGGCGTGCCTCCAACTGTCTCCAAAGATGTTCTCTACTTACTTCTCAGTTATCTAAGGTGTCCCATGTTTGCTGTCCCTTGCTTTCTTTTCACTGCGATCACGTAAACGTACAGCAGAATGATTGACCATCTTAACCCCTAGCATCAGTAACATGTTTTATCCTCCTGGTGACCTAGCGGTCCAGCAACGCCTCCATCAACCTCACCTCTGGGTAATTCCTTCGAACACATTCACAAATCCTACCTAGGCCTCATATACTCTCCTAGACACAACTTTCTCTCAAATTTCTACCAACTCTGACCTGAAAGCACCACACACACTTGAGGCACGTTCATCTCTCTTCCGTAACCAGGAGCTCTATGGAAACACACACCTACCAGTTACAGTAGATAACCCATACGTGAGAGAGAGAGAGAGAGAGAGAGAGAGAGAGAGAGAGAGAGAGAGAGAGAGAGAGAGAGAGAGAGAGAGAGAGAGAGAGAGAGAGAGAGAGAGAGAGAGAGAGAGAGCATTAAAATGACCTATGACCTAGGGAGTGTTTATAATTGTTAGTATTTCTTAAAGCATTTATCTTTGGTTTACTCCCGACCAGCCTATGTCTGTCCCATACCCCACACCATTTCCCTGCAAATTTGGGTGTTCCCCATGCATATGGCCTCCAACTTTGGACAGACAGAAAAACAGGCATTCTCTGTTATAGATTATTAATGATAATTACTTAATAATTCATTGTGTCAGGGGACAGGAAGCCAGCGTGTGTTAATACATAAGCTTTTATCGAGGTCCCCCCCCCACCACCAACGTCGAATTACTGACCCCGCCCAGGATGCAACCCCACTACAAGCTGACTAACTCCTGAGTACCTACTTAGTGCTAGGTGAACAGACGAATTAGGTGAAAGGAAATGTGCGCACCCATTTCTGTCCCGCCCAGGATTTGAACCCGGAATTCTGGATTGTACGTGGATAAAGGAACCTAACTGTACTACCAGGACCTTCATATTACCCTCAAATTACTAATAGTAATTTGCATTATTACTGTTGTCATGGTAATCTCTCAGGAAGAGAATAGGCCTGCTCCATCCTCACCTATTCTACCACATCACGTCGTAACTGGGATTATTCCCAGTTAGAATAATCCTGCGTGCTCTACTGCAAAGATCTGTTGGCATACCTCTGTGTGGTAGCAGGTTAATGCAGACTGGCTCACAGTATTCCCGCGCCATTTTTATTGTTTGTACTTTAATGTAACGTAAATTTGATTGTTTGTTTGTATTGTTCATTTTGCACACTTTGATTAAAGCCAAGTTTGGATACTATTTTTATTTCATGTAATTGGTTAAGGTAATTTTCTTAGTAAAGTATTTTAATTTTTTTTCTCTATGATTTATCCTACAGTTGTCTCAGTGCAAAGTTGAAGAGCAGTCTAATTTTTTTTTTTTTTTTTTTTTTTTTTTTTTTTTTTTTTGCTTTATGCGACTGGCATTCCATCTGCCCTAGAGAGACATTGCTACCATCCATTTTCACGTCACACTGTTGATATCTTGTTACAGGCTGAGGATCGATAAAATTTATTTCCACATACAACAGCAGCAGCTTAAGTAGACATAATTTATCCCTCACCTTGGCTGTCGTTCTTGAGCCTGATCCTGCTGGTGGCGCCGAAGAAGACGTCAGCGAGGTCCCTGATCTCTGGAACAAATTGGTCGAGGCTGATGACATTGTGGGGCCCCGCCTGGGCCATGCCGTGGTCGGCCACCAGGAGAATGTTGACACAGTGCAGGAGGCCTCCCTTGGCCAGGCCTTCCACCAGGCTGGACACCTGCTTCTCCATCCTCACCAGCTGCTTGTCTACCTGCAAGGCCACGAGACATGAGACAACAGTAGGGGAGGTCAATAAGTAGGCCCGGCCTCCTAAGGTTTCCCAACGTCAAGAAACTGTCGTACTAAAGTGCCATTATCCTAAACTACCAGAGGACACAAAACAGAAAACGAAACAGTATGTTAATTTCGTGAGCCGCTTCCTTTTTCTAGTACAACGATTGTACTAGAAAATATTCACGTATTGTTTGGCGTTAGGTAGAGTATACATCAAAATGCAATGATCTATTAGGAGTTCGAGCTGCAATAAGAGTGGAATGTCCGGTGATCTTTTTCCTTGCCAACTGGACCAAACACACACATTGCACCATCCATATAGGTACTGCATGTGCAACATATCATTCGATTGTGGATTTTAGGGCTTGCTAATCAACCTGAAAGAGGGCTTTTGTAGCATCAAGTTGATATTTGACATGGCTAGATTATTTCTGTAGCAGAGACGTATCATATATAAGAAAAAGATATTACGTCAAGTCTCAGGGTATCATTAACAATAAGATTTCTAAAATTACATATAATAAAAGGGATTAAAATGACCTCTTAAAACTCTAAAACTAGTGACCTCTAATTGTAACTGACACGCTAACTGTTCAATTGGACAAGGGTCCAACTGAGTTGCGTGGTGACCACTGGCCAGGTCGGACGTTCCTGAGATCTCTCCGCTCCTGGCTCCTGTTTACGTTGGGTGATTGCTGGTTTGCCCTGCTGGTGGTGGTTTGCCACTGACAGGGTGACGTTTGACTTAGCCATGGGGACTTCTCGCCCTCCAATGAAGAGGACGTTGTCGGCTGGTCTGGCATTTACGGTGCCAGTGGACCATCCGTTGGTTGGTGTCGCCCTGGTGGACGTGCTTCATGTGCAGCTGTTGGACCTGGTGGGCATCCAGCTGCTTCAGGGCAACCGTGCTGTGGTCAAGTTCCACCTCCAGGCTGCCTTTCAGGCGTTTCTTGAGCGGTGTGAGGGGCGTGTTTACCCTCTCCCTGATACTGCTGGTTCTGTTAAGGTGGTGAATCTTAGTGTCACCTTGACATCTGTGGCGGTGCATGGTGCCCCCTTCGAATTTCAGGACGACTTTTTAACCTCCTGTTTTGAACGGTTTGGGACAGTGTTAACTGTTCGTTGGAACAAGGGCCTTGCCGGGCACTGTGTTGGTATGCTGGATGGCTCCCGCACCCTGACGATGTCGCTGAAGTGAAGTGTACCGTCGTCGATGTCCGTGTTGGGTTACACGCTCCACTGCCTGTATCGGGGTCAACCGCTCACCTGTTATCGGTGTGGTCACGAGGGTCATCTGGCTGCAGCGTGCAACGTGGGAGCGACTGGTAGGGTGCATGTTTTTCATGCGGATGATTTTCCGCCCCTATTACATTCGGACGGTTCTGAAGACGAAGTGGGTGCTGTGCCTGAGGCGCCTGATTGCCTGTCTGCTGCTCCGCCTGTTGAGGTGAATTCTATGGCCTGTGCGACACCTCTGGTACCAGCTGTGGCCCCTGGGGTTGTTGAACCGGTGTGTGTGGGTGGTGGGCCTGCGCTGCGTGTAGTGCGGGATGACCCGGTGGAGATTTGTGTCCCACCCCCGCCTGTGAATGTGGTACCGGCTCCCGGAGACGCGGGTTCTGCTGTTTTGGAGGTGGGGGGGGGGGGGGGCTTCGGCAGGGGGAGGTGCCTGCCGTGCCTGTGTGTGTTGGCGACTGTAGTTCTGCTCTTTCCATCCCTTTGCAGAAGCGTGTGCATCGGTATTCTGAAGCTGTTTCCCTGGATGATGTGGACAGTACAGGCGATGTGGCCTCTGTGGACTCTTCGGACGGTGCGGGTGTGGATGTGAGGATGGTGGCTGTGCCTGCGGAGGGGCCTGCTGGGAGTGGTGTGGTGAGGCCTGTCTCAAAGCATTCGAGGCGGGCTCGGAGTGTCTCCCCTTCGTGGTGTGCCTTGGGAGTTGGTGGAGGAGTATGATGCTCTGGCGTCCCCAGCCTTGGATGTTGGTGCTGTGAGGGCTCCGAAGTTGCTACCTATGCCCCCCCTCCTGTGTCTCCCACTGTTGGATCCCCGCAGTGGGGGGTTGCCCCTGATGATCGCGACCTCGTCATGGTGTTGTGGAAAGATGTGCGCCTGATGGTCTCGGCTCCTGTGCCCTGTGGTGGGTTCGATGCCGTGCCTGCATCCCCTGTGGTTCCCCCGCCTTCGTTGCCCTGGTCTGGGGGAAGCTTTGTCCCGATTGCTGGGGTCATTGGGGTCATGCCCTGTGAGGGTCCGGTGTTGGGCCATTATTGGGATGCCCGGGTGCTTCCGATCCTGCGGTGCTCATCCACTGTCTGGGTGTCAGGAGTGAAGGAGTGTGTTTATAGGGTGCCGGATAGATGTCTCAGCCGAAGGCGCCGCCTGGTGGCCGGGTGTCCCCTGACACGTGGGTGATTTGGGATGCGTACTGCTTGCACTTTCCGATATACAAGTTTCCGGAGTAATATTAGTTGACGTCTTGCGCACGCTGCTACGCCGTGCGTGGATCCGCTGCCGCCGTGAACTCGACATCCCGCCCTGCGGTGCGGGAGTCTCCCTCTAACGTCCGCCTCTGTTTTCGTCGCCACTCCTCTCTCTACGACCCGACACATCTAACACTTTTGACTTTCTTCTCCTCAACGTTAACGCGTCTTTCTACATCTGTCCTGGTGCAGTCATTGGAGGGTAAATCCTTTATGCAAACTGCACCTATTCTCAAGAAGAAGGGTCCAACTAAACGATGAGCTTTGTTCTTAACCTAGTAACAGTCTCAGAAAGGAATGTTAGCTTATACTCTGCAACGCACAGTAAGGAAACCAACACAGGAATGTGCCTTAATGCTAGAAGAAAATGTCCTGGTGGATACAGGCGAAGTATTTTCAATCTTCAATTAGCAACCTCAGACTTAACACAATGGTACATTACCGGTCTCTCCTATCAAAGTATTCTACAGGATCGTCTTCTCCACGGATCACAGAAAAGAAGGAGTCCTGAGAGACATTATTGATAGACACGTGATCCCTATCAACACCGACTGATCTGACAGACTCCCAACATCTTAGCATCTCCACCCCCATGAATCTCACCCATCACCCTCAACCTAAACTGTCTCCCTTCTTCACTCTCCACCTCAAGTGCCGCCCCAACACCTTACTGTCACTGTGTTCACTCTTCACTCACCTCAGGAGAGTCGGGTCCCGTGGCGTGGCCCTGGTAGTCGGGCTCGTCGAAGTAGAGGGAGACCCAGTCAGGTCTCTCCCCAGCAGGCAAGTTCAGCCACTCCAGCACCTGCAGCAGAACAGCTGTGTCACACCCACACCTGCTACCACAGCCACACCCACACCTGCCACCACAGCCACACCCACACCTGCCACCACAGCCACACCCACACCTGCCACCACAGTCACACCCACACCTGCTACCACAGTCACACCCACACCTGCTACCACAGTCACACCCACACCTGCCACCACAGTCACTCCCACACCTGCCACCACAGTCACACCCACACCTGCCACCACAGTCACTCCCACACCTGTCACCACAGTCACACCCACACCTGCCACCACAGTCACTCCCACACCTGCCACACCTACCAAACACACAACACACATCACTGGCAAGCAAGCAACTAATCCATGCTAGTTTATCTTAGAAGAGAACATATGTGTGCAAGTCGTCGACTTAATTTATCTCTAAGTTTATGTATAAATATACGTCATGACACGTTTCAATTATGCTTCCACCTCCTCTGAAACACTGTATACGACCAACAAAAAATAGTTGTTATTTCTATGAAACAAGAGACTGCTTTCATGAATTGTATGGTGATGAGTCTGACCTTGAGGACCCGCTGCTGGTAGGGGATGGAGTGATTATAGTTGAGCCAGTAGGTAGGATGCCTTCCTTGAACGTCCGCGTCTGACCCCGGCCAGAAGAAGGTGGCGCTCTTCTTTCCCTGGAAATACACCATCTCTGAGTCTTATTAAACACAAAGGAAACGTATAAACATAATATACATAATACCTCTCATAGTATGGAGCTCCAGCAGTGCTGGCAAACTTCAACATTCGACATTCGTTTATGCATTTTATAGGATGGAAAATTGACAAAATGATTGCCAATCATCGTCATACCAGAGTTGCAACATGCAGCAGCGGTGAGGTACACGCGATAAAACACACCAGGATGTCAGAGAACAACCCGTCCTCGACTCAAGTCCATTATATTCAGCGGTCAACCCCACAGACGCATTCATAAATTTTAACATGCTGTTCATTGAGAACAAGATTTTTCTCAAATATAAATTAATATTATAATATATTAGCATATTGTGCATATATAGGCATAGGTTAGGTTAGGTTAGGTGTTTAGGTTCGGTTGGCGATTATTTGCATTTGTAGTACGTGGGTGAAGCATTTATAGCGAAGTGGTTCGAACAAAACTCGTCAGTGAAGCACTTGTTCCGGAAGTGTTCGAACTAAATCAGTTGTGAGTCGTGTGTAAACCGTTTTTCATTCATAAACAGGGGGTTTGGCGGGTGCATGGAATCACTTTTGGATCTTTGTTTGGAGGATGGGCTGCATTTATAGCGCTGTGATTCGAACAAAATTCGTCAGTGAAGCACTTGTTCCGGATATGTTCGAACGTCATCAGTTGTGATTCGTGTGTAAACCGCTTTTCATTCATAAACAGGAAGTTTGGCGGGTGCATGGAATCACTTTTGGATCTTTGTTTGGAGGACGGGCTGCAGAGAGGGTGCGGGACGTTCTCTCATATGATTACTGGAACTAAAAGTCACTAACGTTACATTAAGGCTACACTACTTTATATTTAGACTTCACATCTTTATATTAAAGCTTCACAACTTTATATTACAGCTTCACAATTTTATATTAAAGCTTCACAACTTTAAATATATGAAAAAGTTGGATATGGAAAATGGGTTTATTCTGGCCACAGCCCCAGAGAACATGGACGCCATCTATCTAAAGAAAAAATATTCAATCTTAAGAGTTAGAGACGGCTGGACCTGACCACTGGACGAGGTGATTGTGTGCAGCGCCAAACATTTTAAAAGGATATATGTAAAATTAGTTCTATCTTATAAAACAACATATATATCTAATCACACCCGTTCGTGATGTTTGAAGACACGAAACCAAAAGAGACGTATTATGTTCACAAGATAATTGCAAAAATGTCAACAAACAAAATATGAACACGCTGTAGGTTCATAGGAGTTCAGTAAGTAGCTACTTGACTTCAACCTCCTGCAAATGCAAGGCAATAAAGATGGAGCAGCAGATAGTAGACCAGAAGACCAGTGTTTTCATTTAGAATGTAATCTCAAAGCTTCGGAACAGAAAGAGGACCTTGTCAAAGATATTTCAACAAAAACATCACTGGAGGCTCACTAGGAAGGGAGGTAGTGGATGCAGCCAACATACACGGTTTCAAATGTAGATATGATAGAGCCCAATAAGCTCAGGAACCTGTGCATCAGTTATTGATAATTGAGAGGTAGGACCCATGAGCCGAAGCTCAACTCACCGCAAGCACAATTATGTGAGTACATCTAGGTGAGTACATAAGCCGGATAACATCAGCTGGTCAACGTAAGATCAATGATGACATCAAGGAAACTTTCCGACTGTTACATTACACCACCTCCTGGAGACCAGTACATAGTTAAGACTGGCTAAAGCCTCAACAACAGGGTGATCACTGCATGTTAGTGCTAAGGTTTCACTTGACAAGCATTCCTTGCTGTAAAGGGACAAATTTTATCCCGAAACTGTTTATACACAGAACCCACCAATTAGTATAAATAATGATAAATAACATCCGAAAAATGGCAATTTTTAACGCTTAAACCATTTCACCTGGAAACACTTTTGATAATTCTCCATTCCTAAGTAAATATAATCATCAAACAATACCGATTACAGAGAATAGCTGTTTGTCCAAAGTCGGAGACCAGACCCTTGGGATGAGCGTTATCCAAATTCGTAGGGGAAATGGTCTGGGGTACGGGACGAACATAGGCCTACCCCGACCAGCCTAAGTTAAATGATTTAAGAAATATCAGTAATTATTCAACCCCCTTCCCCCCTTCCCGGTTCAATCTCACGGATTCAGTTTTGGTCAAGTGTGAAATTAGGGTTGGCATGTACAAAGTTTTCCTCATCAGAACACATTTTTTCCTTAAATACAGTAGTTTCATTCCTCCAAAATAATATATTCTGTGAAAGGGAAGAGAGGGTAAGTTGGGGGGCGGCGGACGAGAGGGAGAAGGGGTGGAGGAGGAGAGGGGAAGTAAGTAGTAGGCGTACACCAGTCTCAGGAGACTATGGAGTTGCGCTCTGTTCAAGTTCAAGTATGTTTATTGAGATAAGCAATAAATACATCTCAAAGGAATAGAGTAGCTTAGGCTATTTCTACCCCCCCCCCCCCGCTCTGGTTGTCGGTCTAGAGTGGCCTCTCCATGGCGCAAACCCCAGGGTAGGTTGATACTGGGGCTGTTACCCATGCAGCAGGTCCCTCCCCCCCTTCTCCACGGTGCCGATTTTTTTTTTAGGTTTCCAATGGAAAGGCAAACGTCATTACGATTGGTTCCAGCGCCATGAAGTAAATTAGTAATTATCAAAAGGCACCAAGCCGGTGTGAGAGGGAGGGTAGATGGGCGGGGGTAGATGGGGAAGGGAGGAAGGCAAGGGGGAAGGATGGGTGGGGAGGGAGGATGGGCGGGGGGGGGGGGGTAGGCGGGAGAACAGGCGGCGGAGCGCGAAGGGGGAGGGAGGACGAGAGGGAGGGCAGGAAGGGGAAGGACGAGGATAATGGGGGAAGGAGGGAAGCCCCGGTGGAGAGGAAGAAGGAAAGAGTAGGGAGGGCGAGAGGAAGGGGAAAGAGCGGGGAGAACGAGGGGAGGAGAAGGATTTGCAGAAGGAAGCGAGGGAGAGGACACCCGGGCACTACCGGGTACCCCTCGTATATGTATGGAGAGAGAGAGAGAGAGAGAGAGAGAGAGAGAGAGAGAGAGAGAGAGAGAGAGAGAGAGAGAGAGAGAGAGAGAGAGAGAGAGAGAGAGAGAGAGAGAGAGAGAGAGAGAGAGAGAGAGAGAGAGAGAGAGAGAGAGAGAGAGAGAGAGAGAGAGAGAGAGAGAGAGAGAGAGAGAGAGAGAGAGAGAGAGAGAGAGAGAAGATATGGACGGATGGATGGATAGAAGGAGGGATGGCTGAGAGAGAGACGCCAAGGCAACGCCAGGTACTCCCCCCCCCCCCCCCCAAGTACCATATAAATACTAATAATATCATTGTACACAAATCAGTTTCCTCATGTTCAAATCCTGGTTATACTAATCAAAGGGGAGGGGGCAGTAGCACATTAACTCTCCCCTTTTAATAAATAATAACAAAACGATGCAACACTGCTCTTGACATCCGCACCCGTAATATACCGTCTTGGCGAGTGCAGGCCACTTTATTGCCAATATGTGGCAACTCGGATTAACCACGAACTTGCCTTTGTGCACATACCGGCTCCGATGCGGCTCCTACAGGCGTCAATTCACTGATAGACAATGAACGTAACTATGTGGCCCTGCTCACTGGGCTGCCCCATACCAGTAAAATCCCACTTAAGGACACTGGTAACATCAGCTTACTCCTGTTCCAGAGCTAGAACTGGTCGACTGTAAAACAACTTTACGGAAGATGGGAAGGTCGGAAGAGGTTACGGAAGACGGAAGATCACATTAAACATAGAAAAGACCTACTACATCTTATTTGGAAGCAAATCAACAAATGCAATTCAGCTTCAGATAGATAATGTTAAAATCAGCAATAAAATTTATGTTAAGTTCCTTGGCCTATTCTTAGATAAGAGACTCAACTTCAGCACCCACATACAACACATAACTAAGAAAGTCTCTAAAAGAGTTGGTATATTCTCTAAGATCAGATATTATGTACCCAACTCTGCTCTCCTCTCACTATATTATGCACTTATCTATCCTTATCTTACTTATGGTATCTGTGCATGGGGTTCAACCTCTGCAAACTACCTCAAGCCCATCATCACTCAGCACAAATCTGCTATCAGAACAATAACAAACTCTGCTTTCAGACAACACTCAGCTCCCCTGTTTAAATCCCTAAACATGCTAAACATAAATTGACTCCACACATTCTCTTGTGCCAATTACATTTACAAAACCTTTTTCTTAAGTGCAAACCCTGTTCTGAAACTCTTCCTGGACAGATGTAATAGAACACATACTCACCACACCAGACATAAATATCTCTTTGACATCCCCAGAGTCAAACTTAATCTGCGTAAACACTTTATGCAAATAAAGGGACCTAGTCTATGGAACTCACTTCCTAACGAATTGAAAAGCTGTCAAACTTTTGCTTTATTTAAAAATAAAACCAAAAACTACCTAATTTCATCTTCATAGTTTCATACCTAGTGCTTTAAACTCGCTCACTATCCAGTGCGAGTTTATCCTCTGAATCTGTATCTGTATTTTGTGCTACCCAATCCCTCAATATATGTACCTAAGCCATATAACTTTTCCATTGTAATCATTGATATCATCTTATATCATGGTTGTTATATTGAACACATATTGTGTGCTACCCAATCCCTCAATATATATGTACCTAAGCCTTACAACTTTACCATTAAACATTGCTGTTATCTTATATGTACTATCAGTGTGTGTGATGTCTGTCTATATATGTATTAAGACGATGTACTGAACGGGGTGAGAATAGCTTGAGCTACCTCATCCCTTTGTGTGTATTTTACTTCAATAAACTTATTTCAATTTCAATTTCAATCAGTGTGCTTTAATGTGCCTACTAATCTTTGTCATATCATCACTCAAACTATCAATGCTATGAGTCAAAGCTTCCAATGTGCTTTAATGTGCCTACTTATCTTTGTCAAATTTTCTTACAATGCACCTGTTAACATTTTATAAATTTTGCTAGAAATTACATACTTAATATTATCTGTTAGATTAAGGACCTGCCCGAAACGCTGTGCGTACTAGTGGCTTTACAAGAATGTGAACACATCATGCTATGTAGTCTCATAAACCCAATGTAACTTCTTGTATATACCTGTAAATAAATAAAAAATAATAAATAAAGAAGAAGAATCAAGGGGCTTACCAAGAAACAGGCGACCTGTACAACGACTTCTATATGAAGGAATAGATGCGATTGCAAGACATTATGGCGTGTCCAGAATGTGGCTGTGTGAGGAGCCTAGTCATGCTTCCTACTAAGCTGTACCAGGTTGAAGAAGGAACCGTGAGGATTATTGGCGAAGAATCGTCGCCCCAAGTGTAACTTGAGGCTCTGGTGCAGTCATTGACACAGTCAACGTCAAGGAGAATCGGTTAAACCAGGTAGGGAGTGAGATGCTATGAACAGTATAATTCTAGTTCTCCTGCAGTGCACGGTGAAGTAAAGTGATGTGTGGTAGACTATGTGAGTTGCCATATGGTATTGCTTTTTGGTTTGCGGCAGTCTAATGAACCTCTCCCTCATGGGGAGCACATGACACCGGGTTACCCCTCATTGGGTAATCGTCACCGGCGAGGACCAATGAACTCGTGTGCTTACATTCAGGCTCCCAAAGCCAGGGCCGCAGCCCTGGTGTCCACGAGCGCCAGCACCGGCGGCGACATCAACTAACATGGAATTTGACATATCTGAAGTAGGCTATCACCCGGAAATTTACAAAAATCAAAAACTATAATTCACATATAAAATTTAGACCGTCTTAAATATAGCTAAAGTTACTTTTGCCAGTCTGAAATGTTACTGCGAGGGTGAGGCTTATTGAAAGTAGAGAAGACTGCAGGTAGGCAACATGGATCAGTGTGACCAAGGCTTACCTGGAGGATCAGCGTGACCAAAGCTTACCTGGAGGGTCAGCGTGACCAAAGCTTACCTGGAGGGTCAGCGTGACCAAGATACCTGGGTCAGCGTGACCAGGCTTACCTGGAGGGTCAGACCAAGGCTTACCTGGAGGGTCAGCGTGACCAAAGCTTACCTGGAGGGTCAGCGTGACCAAGGTATACCTGGAGGGTCAGCGTGACCAAAGCTTACCTGGAGGATGAGTGTGACCAAAGCTTACCTGGAGGGTGAGTGTGACCAAGGCTTACCTGGAGGGTGAGTGTGTTCCAGATGGGCTCGCCGCCCCACCACGACGCATTGGACATGGTTGGGCTGTTGAGGGTAAACAATCCCTGGAGGACCGGGTCGTAGAAATAATTGCCGATGATGCCGTGGCTCTCCGGGTAGAGCCCCTGGAGGGAGGGAGAGCTTGTTTGAGACCCAGTGCTTGGAGGAAGGGAACTTTCGGGAGAAAACGCTAAGCCATTACCACTATATAGGGCTACAACCCGTTCTCGCACTTTCGTAGTCAATATTGACTTATTAAATATAGTATGTTTAGTATGTCACATATGCACGTATTAAATAAGTCAATATTGATTGTAAGAAAGTGCGAGAACGGGTTGAGGGCTAGGAAAGGATCAGGATAAGGATTTGGAATGGTGCCCAACGACTTAGACGGTCGGGGATTGAGCGCTGACCTGCATGAAGCGAGACCGTTGCTCGATCATCCAGCTCAAGCGGTTGGGCACTGTGAGAAGTCGAGGAGAGGCGTGGTAGGTAAACAAGATTAAACACTAAAGGGTTGTAATTAAATACATAACACATTTTTGCTGCTAAACTTTATGCAGTTAAGTGCCAGAGTTCCTCACAATTTTGTTTATGTGAATCAACATTTCAAGGATTAAGAAACTCAAGTCAATTGTTTAAAGAAAAATAATTGCTATTGTTAAAGAAATAAATTTTATGTTCCAATAAAACTGTTTCGAGCCCTGGGAAACACAAGAAAGAGTGCTTTAATGTTATCCGAGCTTGTCTGTTAATCACATGTTATATGTGATTTACAATTTATAGGTCCCTCTAGCGCAGTAGTCAGCGCACTCGGGTCACAACCCATAGGTCTAGAGTTCAATTCCCGCGACATCACGAACGTCTGTGCAGGAATTAGGTATCTGTGTGTTAGGCAACTGTTGTAGGCTGCATCCTGGGGAATGTCAGCAGTTGGCCTAGGGACACCGCGATAAGATTACCAAACTTCCTGTCCCCGACAACGGGTACCCTCGTGATGACGTGTATGTTATGCTGTCAACCTTAACGGTGCCCGTGAAGGGTTACGAGAGATCATGTGAGAGTTACATGCCAGTTTCTCTCGTGTGACCAGTGGTGGTCCGGCGGGGCGTCTCCCACACCACCAAGCAGGCGGAGAGGCTTTGAAAGGTTCCTTCATTAATGCCATGCAGCTGGGTCTAGCCCTGGCACTTTATCTCATCCTAAAAACCTTTCCTCTCACCCCACTAATTCTTCCCCTATCCCCACTCACCCTACAGGGTATCTTAACCTATATTTAATTGATTGATTGATTCATTCATTCACATTGTGAAGCCCTATAGGCTTCCCCCCTATATAGCCCTATATAAGCTGTAGCTTCATTTGCTTACACCTAAATTCGACCCTGGTTGGGGAAGGAGAATGCGACTAATTTAATATATTAGGTTAGGTTAGGTTAGGCATGAACATCCTCCCCGGCTTGGTGCTTTTTGATAATAACTTACTATGCTTGAACATAATGGATTTATCTTGATTAGGCTAATTAGATTGGGAAGGCCGAAATTTCTAGTAACATGCAGAATGGGACATCTGGTAGCCTGAAAATGACCTCAATAAGCGACATTGGAATTTTTTCTGACATCATCTAAGTATTCAACTTTGGGTTGAATACAGGCAATTTTGGAATACGGTTATGTTATTCTGTATGCAGAAAGTCAGCCACCAGCATTAGTTGATGTTCTCATCCTTCAGTAACTGTTATGATTAAGAAGTCATTAGCAGGAATAGAGTTTCAAGTAGGTTTTCTTGTGAATGGTCAACGACACGTTAGTATATACTTACCGTGACTATAGTATAGTGATTAGGAAACGTGACGGTGGGGTACGAGGAAAACATGTAGGGGGCGTGGACCCCCTTCTGGGCCAGCTTCTCAATGGTGGGGGTGAGCCCCCTCTTGAGGTAGTCTGCTCGGAAGCCATCAAGGGAGACCAGCAACACTGGACGGCGGCCGTAGTCCCTCGGGCAGCGCGCCGCCTCCAGTCGCTCTGGCAGGAGCCCGTCATTTCCGGCGCTCAGCGTCACTCCCAGCACCGCCGCCACCACCACCAGCAGCACCATACAGCACTTGAGGAGACACAAGATGGTGGTCAGAGATTGAGGAGGAAGAACAGGGTGTACTGGGCAGGGTGTTGTGTGTTAATGGTGGGGGTACAGGGCAGGGGTATTGTGTGTTAATGATGGGGTACAAGGCAGGGGTGTTGTATTAATGATGTTTTTTAGCATCTTTGAATTGATCAACCAGATCACCTGATTGCTAGCAGGTGATCAGTACGCCATGCGTACAAGAGTGGCCGAAGTGTGTACTCAACTCTGCACGTTAAATACGTCAGGAATGAAAAATTTCCTCTACTACTGTTTGTTGCAGCGTCAGTTTATTTCTCATACTAAACTCCAGTCCTACTTTGATCGACCCAGGGATAGGTGGGTGCTATATGCCTATTTCCTCAGCTTGGGAGGCGACACATGTTGAATTTTGTTAGAAAAATTCGTAACTACTTCCATAGCTGAGGCCTGCGAGCTGGACGGGTATAAAGAGTCACAGTCTATTGGTACCAGAGTGATGTTAGTGGGTAGCCTTTGGGTCTCTGCTTGTAATCTTAATATGAAGTGTGTTGTCTTGCATCCTCTCCGAGAGAGGGGTCCAGGCTATGCATCACAGTCACCATCCATTTGTCTCGTGTTTCTGTCTTTCATGTGACTCCTTCACTTCTGTAGTTCAGAGGTTTCCAGGCCACTACAAAATAACCTTTATCAACCCTAATCACTTAGTTATATTAATCGGTTTGTGCTTGGCTGTTCTTTACGTATTAGTTTAGATTTAATTCCCCTTGATGGTTGTAGGTGAGGTTTGAAATATACTTCTAGCAATTCTCTCAAGAATCGGAGTTGATTCAATACCGGTTTAGGGGTCTTTGCAGCCGGTAGGTACCTATAAGTTTTACTTTACGAGTGTTTTTTAGGGTTCCGGTAGTACAGACGGCTTCGTTCTCGCGTCACAATCAAGAATCCCGGATTCGAATCCCGGGTGGGACAGAAATGGTTGGGCGCATTTCACATCACCAAATGCCTTTGGTCACTTAGCAGCATGTAGGTACCCAGGAGTTTGTCAGGATGTTGCTTGCTGTAGGGTTGCATCCTGGGGGAAATTGGCTGTAATTCGATCTCGGGGGTTGAGGGGGGGGGGAGTCGTTTATTCAAACGTTTATACACACACTCCGGCTGCATGTCCCCCGACAGAATTAATTAAATTTATTTATTTTAGGGTAGCCATTATCCTGCTACTTACGGTTGAATTGTCCCCTCGCTATGATGAACACGTCTTTGGGATCAGTCACTGCACGGACGACCATAGCCTAAGAACGAGTTGTAGCCTAAACACCTCAGAGTCAATTTCCGCAGCAGGATACAGACTTTTAGACCTTTCTATTTACTTGATCTTTCCTTCACCTGTCAGTGAATAGGCATCCGGTAGCTAGACAACCCACCTCAGTCCAGATACATTTGCTGGAAGGGTATAGGAGTACCCTTCAAGGTTGCTCCTTCTCCAAGGAGTACAAGGCTTGCTGAAAGGAAGGAGTTGTAGACTATTTCTTCAGATATAGTACTTGCAGGATAGTCACGCCTCGGTGGATGATTGCGTTAAAACCTCCATCCACAGGACAAATTTTGTGTAATACAGGTATTTGGAAATTAGGGTTTGTCCCATGTGACGCTCGAATTTCTCAAACATTAATTTTGAACAATGTATTATCAGATGTTTAGAAGATAGACAGTGAAGAGGTAATATTAACTCAGGGTATTACATGTCCAGTTGAGCACATGCCACTGATTCAAGTCAATTTAAGGTCGAAATTTACCTCAGAAGTTTGAACCATTGGTGTTAGTGCCCAATTGTTCTTTCCAGGTGCTGATGTGATCCTGGATAATGATCTTGCTGGTGGGCAAGTTAAGGGGGCATAGGTTAGATTATTAAAAGCTGTTCTAGTGCAATCAATATTTATTGACGTTTTATATGTAAAAAGGGCTGCAACTGGTCCAAGTTTCAGCATCGCAGCCTAAATACAAAGAGAGAGAGAGAGAGAAAAAAATACGTATTTTAGACGATTTTTCAACGTGTTGCTACAAACACAAGTGTCAACCGAAATCATTTCTATGACACTCAGCTATCACATTAGCATATAGTAAAGGTTTTGTTGCCAGATTTCTATCCCAAATGTATTTAGTGCAATAATACAAATGTTCAAAGTTTCCCTAAAAATTATGCAACAAAATTATGTTTATAAACATTTATAAAATCAATAAATGGACTTGGGAAAACAATGCGGAAATAGATTTTAGAGACAAACTCTACATATAATGTGCAAGTTTCATGTAAATTGAATAAAAAATGAAAGTGTAGAGATAACGTTTATGTTACCTGAAAATAAATAAGTAAAAAAATGGAGTCTTAAGGTGCTGCCATCTGTGGCTGAGGTTGACATCAACCAATTTCCTCCAAAACTGGCACCCTTACAGATAGGCTTACGTGCAGTCAGGTGTATAAGTTTCATGCAAATCGTCCGATAAACAAATAAGAAAAAAATGGAAAAAAATCTATTTTTTTTTATAAAACTATTATTTTTTTTATTATATGCTATTGCGATAACTGAGAGACATAGACATGATTTCAGTTGACACTTGTGTTTGATGTTAATTTTTGACCATTTTGGAAAATTTTTGACACATAATTCAATATTTTTTCTCCCTTCCTATTTATGCTACGACGCTGAGATTTGGACCAGATGAAACCCTTTTCATATACAACTAGTCAAAAAAAGTTTAATTGAAATCGAACTAGTTTTCATTTATTGCATATTTTTGGAAATTTGTGAACCCATGGCCCCTTAAAGGGAACGAACACCCCATTATGGTAGTAGAACCTAAGGTTGAACAAGCACAAAGTATGCAGAGGATGGTGTGATTTACCCTGAGTGCTGTAACCAGATGAATAGATTGCAAGTCTGAAGGTAGTCTTGCCACTACATAGGTATATTGTACTGAGACTAGGATCCCTCCAAAGGTGGAGTGGAAGGTAGATCTTGTGGCTACCTGTATGAGGAGACTGAGCCCGAAGCAGAGGGCTCCACCTCAACCTAGCATGGAGGATGGTGCAGATGATGAGGTCAGAGTTCTGGTGTCTCATATGTTCGCACCAGAATTCGAGTTCGGCCACACCTTAGGTGAGTTGCAGGGCTGACCCCCAGTCTTTCTTAATGTTGCTAGGAGGCCATCCCATTGTTGAAAGAACTAAAGGAGGCGATGGGATACTATTTCCATGATCAGCTTCTGATGAGACGATGGAGAGCAGCCTTTAGCTTCCTCATCAGACGACTGAAGTAGTTAGCCGACGCGTTCTTCCTAGTTAGTGCCAGAAGAGAGTACTCCAAAGACGGACATCATGGCATCGCCAGTGTGTGTCAAGACTGTTGAGTTTTACGCTTGGCCCAAGATGAAGAAAGATGTGGACAGATTTTGAAGCCTATGTGGAGTGTGTGGGATGTTGTTAGAACCTGACCAAACAGTTTCTTGGGCCCCATTGCAACCAATTGTCGTTGCTCGGCAACTTTTCCACAAGTCGTAACGGAAAGCTTGAGACTAATGCCCAGAACAAGGTCTTGGAACCTTGAATCTGTTCACCCTGATGTGTACCACAACCAGATTCTTGGAGTCCTATGCTGTCCGGAACATCGGGTCCTAAGCCCTTATTAAGCATCTGGTGAGTTTATTTTCTTTGTTTGGTTTGTCCCGGGTGATCCAGATAGATAACGGGAGCAACTTCAGGTCGGCCATTTTCACTGATTTTATAAAGCTTGTGGGATAGAGCATAAACTCTTGGGTCCATATCATCCCCAGAGCCAAGGGGCGATCAAGATGCGACCAGACCTTGAAGCAAATGCTCAAGCTACAGGGAAGTGTTCCGAGTTGGAGTGGGATAAGTCTTTCATATTTTATTTGCCACTTATGAAGGGTTATAGAATTCCTCCCTTCGAGCTGATTTTCGGACACCAGGTAAGGGGGGACCCTTGAAGATACTCTGCAAGAAGCTTATGAGGAATGTAACTTTGTCCGAGGATGGTCAATTCCCGATTGACATCAGGAAAAGGTCGAGTTTTAGTATGGAATTGCCGCAACAATTTATGGACACTTAAGGAGGTCATACAGAACCGTCATGACAGGAAAATTAAGGCCAAGCAAAGGAGGTTTGAGCCAAGTGACCTTGTTTTTGTGTTCAAACCTCGAATGGGGACTTTCATGTCCCACAAATTTTATGGGCCCTACAGAGTCGTTGAGAGAGATTGGATGATTTAGCCTACAAGGTGTGTCACCTGGAACAGTCAGCAGGTAATCGTTGTCCATCAGAATAGACTGAAGTATATCAGGGCCTAGTCGTGTGGGCTGCACTGTTAGTTGTGGTCCCAGGACTGAGGAAGATTCGGGTGGTAGGAAATTGGCTATCCCAGATCTGCTTCCTTTTAGTTAAATTAGGGAGATGCTATGTCATTCACAGAAGGTCCAATGTGATGAGGTTCAGCAGCTGCTGGAGATGCTTGACGAACGTGACGAACCACCTTTTGGGAAATTCCTGCTCAGACAAACCTCATATGTCATCTGTGTTTTTCAAAATGGGAATTTTAGGTTTTCACAGTAATCATTAATTTGTCATAAAATACGGGATCACATTTTCTCCGGAAATTCAATTTGATAATCCACCATATCCTGAAATGTTTAATGTAATGGCAGATGTCTTACCTTGTATACGTCTTTCAGATTTAACTTAGGTACTATGGACATGAACTCCCAATTGAGTTTTAAAAGCTTGTATAGTGTGAAATTTATTATTAATGTACAAACCTTAATTTCATATCAATGAATTTTGTTTTTTGTTTTGGCGTAATCTGTGTGTAACGTCAAAAATTAAATTTTCAAAGTTTAAAAAGTACTGCCAAGTAATTGCATTATCATTTCTCTAGATGCAGAGGGGAATGTTTTGAATGACGGGAGAGCCTTGTCACAACCTTAATCGT